AAGAAAATTCAAACTTGGATGAAGAAAGAATGCATTAAGAGTAACTAAATTTAGACGTTTGGTTTGAATCTACTGTAAACGGAGTACAGTGACTTACAATATGTTTGATTTTTATGGTTGTAAAACATAATATTTAGGAGACATACAGGATTGTATATCAGGGTACAGGCATGGATAATACATATGATAGACGTTTGAAATAATTTTGATCAACAGACCATTTGATTGTCTTTGATGATTGTGAGGTAAGGACATCCACTGACGTTCTGGTGGTCTTTGGCAAACTGCATAAAATCAAAGTTTCAAATGATGACTATTACACTACTTACTGAACTACTTACACTACTATAACTGAACAGATGTCTTAATCAAAGATTCCAGCTACAATACTGAATATAATACTGATCATKTAAAGGCACCCAGATATCACACAGAAACAAAAGAGAGAAATATAAATAAAAGTTTGAAAAGAAAAAAARAGAGAGATTTTGAGGTTATAACAAAGATGACAAACTACAGATGACAATATATTTATGCAGCAAGGTTTGTTTAAGTATGCACAAGAAGAAAATTTTGGACTGTTTACAAATTGCACATGTTGTTTACAAATAAGTACAATCTTTAAACCAAATGAAATCAAATGTGTGAATAAATAAATCAATGGAAGAATTAGGACTAAACGTGTTCAAAGAGTAAATGAAGTGCAACTAAAACAGAGATTGATAACACATGCAGTGTTTAGAAATTGGACAATTCTTGCTCCCAAATATATATGTTTAGAAATTAGATAAAAGAAATTTTCGATGATTATATATATCATAGACAGACAATTCATTTACTCTATATTATAGAAAAACATTTCTAGTATGTTTAATGATTGCTTCAACATTCTACTTACATGAATTGTTTACATGAGTATCTAAAAGTAGTTTCTATGGGAGCCATCATTAGTTTGGAAACAATTTTTGACATTTCAAAAGTTGCTAAAACTTCTGCAATGTACTCTAGATTTCTTATCAATAATAATATAATGAAAGATTGTTTGACTGATTGAATATCTGCCAGTAGCATCAAGTATTTACYGCCTGTTATGTGATTTTAAATGAATTTCTGCAGACRGCAAACACACACAGCTGTACATGTATTATATGCTAAGTGTTTTTGTAGCATGTTTGGATTGTTTTTTATTCTTTTGAGGACAGATAATACAAAAATACTATGAAAACACATCAGTATGACTAGCCGAGTTTCTAAAYTTATACACAACATGAGCTATAAATCATAACAACTTTGACTTGATGATTTTTTTTWATGTTAACTGCACACACATTATCCCAAATTTATTGCAATGTAATCAAGCTTCTYAATAAACTTTTATGCTCTTTACTTTCTTTTGTTTTCTTTGTATTTTATGCTAACTTTGATAAATTAATAATATTGATATCTCCGAAAAAAACCGTAGTGAGTTTCGATAATGACCTCACTAAGAATAATTGATCTCTTCTAAGGTAAAGTTTGCAAAACAATCCCTTCTAAAGTGGCTTGATAATATCTTTTATTATGGACAGTAAATGAGTTTGTATGTGGTTTGAGCACAACAAAAACAAGAAAATTAATACTTGTTTTTATAAAGCATGGCACATGTCAGGAAAATGTCAGAAAAACACATGTACTGTGTGGGTATCAGATACTCTAYAATATTGAAAAACACACAAAAATTAAAATTATACTTTAGGAAGATACTTAACATGTAGTACAAGATTTCTCAAGCTCTGTTCTAATTTTTGCAGTACATATATAATTATATCAAATATATAACAGAGTTCAAAGTTTTTAAACAATCATTGCCTAATTTTGAAATCAAAAAAGCAAAGAAATGATTCCATAAGATCAATATTTTGTCCCACAACAGSCATATGACATGGGAACCTTCACTTTTCACTCTTGCCCCAGATGGGTTTTCATTTCCGGTTTCGTGTAGAAAAAAAAAATATTGAGGGATTATCTTGAGCTAGACGAAACTTTATTAATCAGGGCATCTTTTGTTAAAGATAAAGTTCTCCTACTTCTACTAACAAGAGAATAACAAGGCACACAAATATGCAATTGTTAAGTTGGAGAAATAGCTCAGCTTGCTCGTTCGTGCATATAAAATGAGTTTCACTTTGGAAATAAAGATCGTTTTGTTTTCCCAAAAAGTCTCATGATTAGCGCTGAATTTCAGCTGATAATACAATCAATGCCTGAAGCCATAAAAAAGAAACATCGAAGTCCTAGATGCGAATGAAAATATATAGTATGGTTTCCAAAAAGAAGAAGTTTAGGTCCGACAAAAGTAGTAATTCGTTGAATAAGAAAACCGCGTGCAGTCGACACAAAGAAACACACTTCAATATTTTCTTTGCAAAATMAAACGACTTAGCTTTCAAAAAACTTTATTTTATATACTAAAGGAGTAGAGATGGTATTCAAAGATGYCTTTTCAGTACTATGAAGTAAAAAACACCAAAACTTTGGCTTGTTTGAAGCGAAAGTTTGTGGTCAGTTTACAACAATACAAATTTAGAGKTGACACCAGAGTTTGCCTGGCAATAAATCTTCTTACCTTCTAAATGGTCGAGCATGTAGGTTAAAAGCTTCGAGGTACCATTGCTTTCTGAGTATAAATTTAATATTTGCTGTGGTAAAGGATTTCCACTGAGTCCAAGTTTTTGCAACTGAAAAAGTTTCCCTAGCTCGTTTGGCAAATTTCGGAGGCCATTATTGCATAGAAGGAGCTCACGTAATGTGACCATATCTCCCATTTCTGCGGGCAAACTTCGCAGTTTGTTGGACGAGACATCAAGATGTCTWAGATTTGTAAGTCTTGAAATATCAGGTGGAATTCTAGTAAGGTTATTGTCGTTTAAAAATAATGCTGTTAAAAATTCGAGCTGCCATAAATTTGGACTCAAATTACGGACGGGAGCCGTAATTTCGAGTTCTGTCCAGTGCGATTTCTTGCCTGCAGCCACATCTTCGGAGCTCATAATAGCGTAGTTTCTACGATATCCGTTATTGTCATGCTTGTCCTTCGGCATTGCTAAAAATCATGACTTTATCCGACGCAAAAATAAGTAAACCAACATGGCGGACACGATATTCACTCGGCACGAACCAAGAATACAATACTACGAACACGGTAAGTGACGTCATGCGGAAAAATTAGCATAAAATCGATTACACTCGTGACGTCATTTCTACAAGCGTGGCAAGAGTCATTTGTTACTTCAGAATTTTAACAAATCAAATCAAAAACAACAGCAGAAAAGAATTTTTATGTTTACCTCATATCTAAGAAGTATATCAGTTTGAAACTAGTTGCTACATCAATCATATTTGCGTGGTGTTGTGTTGCTTTTCATTTTGCACACTTGGTAAAACCACTCTTCCTGCCAAGAGCCATTAAAAATCACTTATATCACCAAAAAACATGAATTCACGCTTCAAAAAGTGCAGAGCTCTCAWTACAAATGATTTTTTGTAGCTTTCCAAATTTGAAAAGAAAACAAATAACTGCAGAAAACAGTTGAAATATGTGTGAATAGTGAACGAAACGTATACTGGACTCAGTTTCGTAGAGTTGTGATACAGAAGGGAAGAAAAAGAGGGAAAATACAAAGAAAAAGAGAAGGAATGAAAGAAAAAAGAAGCATTGACGGGAAAACAAAGGTGAAAATATGAAAAAAAGAGAGAAAAATCGAGCTGCGAAATCCTTATGGAACATTTAGGTTTGAAATTAAAATAGATAGATATGAGCGGAGAAACCCGGCCGTGGAACGGCTGCTGCTTACTAGGTAGTTTCATAGGTTTTGTTAGTCAAGTTAGAGCGTCGTCTGGCAGATAGGGGTGATWAGCTATAAACTAGATCTATCGTGTTAATTTGGGAAGATAGAAAAAATGAACATGCCATTCAACTGCTTTCAAAGGTCAAACAGAAAAGAATATGGAATTACGAATTCTAAGAAAAATCGATCATCACTATATCGAGTGGTGTCAGGTGCAGGTGTGAATGGGTTACCTTTGTCGCCACGTTGCTCCTTGCCCCTCTTCATTCTTCGAGAGTTTAAACTTAACCATAGCAACAACAAAACAGACAGGAATGGACTTTCTCTGCTGGTGATACCACACTAAGGTAAGATTATACTGTATTAGTCTGTAGCTTTGCTTCATAAACTTTTCGGCTTTKCAAGTTTTCAGTTCAGTGCCGAAAAACCAAAATGTCTATTTTTGATTCAAWGACAGGACAAGCTGGTCCTTATTCATTAAGTTACGCAATTTTTTAATTTTCAAATTGTTCTTTTCTCTGAGAGGTCTTGCAAGCAAAAAAGTCCAAATCCGTCTTAACAAACAAGGTTKTTTCGTTAAACTAACGGACTCAAGCCACTCAACCTTAATGTAGTTATCTCTRATTTTTTGACGTTTAAACACCGGAGTTTATGATATAAGACCTTTCGTAAAACAAATTGTGTGAGATTTTCAGCTCATGCTGAAAAGAAAGTTTCATGGTTCACTTACACGTCTGATTGTGGAAGACTTAATAAATCATATATTCTTATGTCAATCAATTCTTATGTCAATTAATTTCTTATATACTGATTATTTTTTGCTGGAAATCCACCTGAGAAAACACTATGTTGGTGGTACTTCGAGCATAAGTGTCTTTCTGCGTAAAGAGCCGATAGGACAGAAAAGGAGTGCAATTTACTTTTCAGTTACCATTCACATATCCGATTGTATTAGTTTTATGATCAAATACCGAAGTTTTTCACTCACCTAGAAACCATCAATCATATATCCCAAGTCCGCTCAGCCGGGCTCCTTAATAACTGTCGGTTGCCCTGTACAAACAACAAATATTTGAGATATTTGATGATTCAGTTGTTACTCGTCGCAAATGTGCCCTTTTCCTATTGCCATAATTAACGCTTTTCATATTCAAATCACTAGTAGACTAATTTGGGATCTTTGTGCACAATTAAACGCATTTATGATAAAGGCAATGATTCAGAAATACTCATTAGACCTGGTAATCACATACAGTGCCCTCCCGCCTTGCGACACTGCGATATAACGGCACTTAAATCCACACTGGGTTCGCGATTGCAGGCAGCAGTCCCGAAGGTGTCTGTTATAAGGAGATTGCAGTGCATTAGTTAAAGCTGAATGAGGTATGAAACGAGTAACGTCGTTTTCAAGGCTGAACCATCAACGATGTAGCGCGACAAGTTGTTGACATTTTTAAAAGAAAGATTCAAATTTAAAACGTTCTTTTTCAGGTTTCCAAATCATCCACAATGATAAGAGTGTTAAAAAACAARTTTATTAGACGTCCTGGGTTGTTTGTGGCTCTAATAGTTTATACGACATTGTTGATATTYCTCATCCAAAACCTAATTTGGAGAAGCAAAATCCGCTTTATTTCGCGGCCGGAACACACGAATTTAACGAACTCGAAACMACAAAGAAAAAACAATTTAATGTATTCACCGATGCTTCAATACAGAAKGGGACATGTCAACGTTCACTTGTGGTATAAAGTATGCAGCAGTTCTGYCGATAGTCTAAGACAATTACCACTTTTCCCTTTGTGGCCGAGTGTGCGAAGTCAACCCGAGATGMCTAACGAACTTGTATCGATTATGAGCAGTCAGTGGTCGGCGCAAAGGGTGTTGGGACTACTATATCCTCCCGTGTCTGGTACATATAGCTTTGAGATAAGCTCTTTGTCCGTCTCGGAATTTTGGCTCAGTAAAGATGACACACCAGAAAATGCGGTTTTCGTTGCTAAAATCAATAAGAATCACTTATTTGGAGTTAATTTCGCCAAGGACATCAATTTACCAAAGTCAAAACCATTTAATCTAAAACAAGGCAAAGTTTACTATTTTGAGATTATTCATGCCATGAATGATATGCAACATGACCAGGTGCAGGTGCGATGGATGATGCCTGGTGCTACGTCATACACAGGGATCCCAAAGACCTCGATATCTACTGTCATTATGAATGATACGAGTCTTGACAAGGATACAAGAGAAATGGTAACAAGCTCACCAAGCCTTGTCATTCAACAAATCGCTCTCAAGAAACACACAGCGCACAAGTGGTCAAATGTCGACTTTTCAAAGCCTTTTTCTCCCTTCTCGTCTTACACTAGAGATAACMTTCATATGCTAGACTACGGTGATAGCTCGACGATCATGACAGCCTTTAGTGTATSCGAGTATTTACCAAGTTATACAAATAAAAGGTCATTTAAGCGATATGAAGGTGTTTATCATACATATTTTGATGATGTRTTTCCCTACGATCACACCGGTGGTAAGGTGTGGCAGGGCTTTCGGGAAGAACCGGACCGTAAAGGAAACAAGCTTATAGAGGARCACGTGGTGATTGACGTGGTTGAAATGTTTATGACGCAATTAAACAACAAATTTCCAGGGTAAGCACCATAGAAACCAAGAAAACAGTCTTCGTAACTGCTTAGTATCACACTCAAAACTYAAAATACTTAATAGTGTGTCTGTCATTCACACAAAATTTTCATCTCATGATTATTTAATGGAAGTTAGAGAAAACTCTCGTTACAAGACAGCAGCTTAATGACATCTCCTTTATCCACAGCCAGTACACCCTGGCCAATGTYGTCAACGTAGAAAGAAACGTGGACAAAGTACGTGGTAACCGTTTCTTCCTGGAATTGGTCCTACAAGATGTGAAAACAAACAAGCTCCAACGTATATCAGAATATGTTTTCCAGTTCAATAACAATTCAAACGTTTTATGTAAACCYAAAGGACTAACTTGGTCACCAAAGACTAAGATTTACGCGATCATAAATGCCAAGAGCCAGGGACCATGGATAGTGCATTATGTTGAAAATATGGCCCGAGTAATACACACAAACCATGACGATAATGTGCACTTTATARTAGTGGATTATGGAAACAATGGTGTCAACATAAAAGACGAGTTAGAAAGGTACTGTTTATTGATTAAATATGTGTTGGCATTTATGACGTCTTAGATACGTAATTGAAGTCACTGAAGTCATGATAGGACGAACATAGAAGTGATAATTTGATATATCACACTCGTACCAAGTCGTCACTCGACTTTTTCCCTAAGGGGTTGATGGGAAGCACCGAACCTTTGAAGMAGTRCAAGCTCGCTCGCTTTTWAAAATCTTTACTCGAATAGGGCTCCTACAATGGTAATTGAACGATTGAATAATGTAATGGTTATATATATACGACGTCACTCCTTTCTGTTTTCCAGGAACGGATTAAAACATTATACTGTTATTACAAAGACTGGCAAGTTCCATAAAACYCTGGCTATCGACGAGGCTGTCAAATCAATTGAGGATAACAATAGCATCGTGTTTCTAACYGACCTTCATCTCGATGCACCAAAAAACTTGTTTGAATCTGTGAGAAAGGTAACTCTGTAGACTCAACTCGTGTAGTCACATGTCATTATGGTATGAATGCTAATGTTGTTACTGATTTTCAGCACACAGTCCAGGGATTGATGRCCTTTACCCCAATAGTATTTCGATTAAAGCAATGTTCAAGACCAGAAACCAACCAGGGYTCTACAACAGGATTCTGGGACAGCTATGCTTTTGGGATTTTTAGTAAGTGTTAAATGTCGATCGCGCAGGGACAGAAGAAAGGATTTTCTAGGAAGGCTTCAGGGCAGCAAAGAAAGGAATAAACTCCAGAAAAACTTTCAGGAAAGATRAAAAATTAGCAGAAAGTATTAAAGGGTGCAAGGCCCTAGAAAAGAGTGTCCACCCCTGCCCATGCACCCCACCCCTTCCACACCCCTGCACCCACAATCTCGATCCTCCAGTTGTAGTATAAACATCACAAATACCGACTATGTGCCTAAGATAGTCAATTTTTGATGTTCACAGGTACATTTAAGAGTGACTGGAAAAACTTTGGAGGCGTTAATGTAAAAGAGTTCAGGTATAAATGGGGAGGAGAGGACTGGGAGATGGTGGACCGAGTGTTAGCTAAGGGACTGGAAATAACTCGTCTACGACAACCATTCTTCTATCACTTCTTTCACGATAAGGCCGGCATGTGGGACAAATCATGAGTTCCAAATATGGATAAARCATTGACRTCACACTGTCACGTGATATCTAAATATGAATAGAACATCGACGTCGCACTGTCAAACATGGATGTAATAACCAAATATGGATAAGACATTGATATCATGATATCAAATATGGAAATATACTTAGATAAATCATATTTTTTAGAATAATGTACACGTCAAAACGCCTTCAAGAATAATAAACCATCTTGATTATTCCATTAACAGTTTATTTACAATACTAATCCAGATTTAGTTGAGTCTTTTGTATTTGTTTTGCTATACTAAAAGGTAACATGTCCCCAATRAATTGAATATGAATAACAAACAATTGCCTAAGGGTTGGAGCTGCGGCATACGTGACAATCTCGAAAAGAATTAAACATAATTGTATGTATCTGAGCACTGATCAAATGATTAAGAACTCCTACGCATTTCTAGAATAGATAGCCGAATAGATTATAGGTGTTCCCAGATAACAATCGTAAATGACTACGGACTTATATTCACCTGGGTATTGGGGGAGGAGGGTGGAGGGGAGGGGGAGTTGCAAGAATGCGAAGTCATACAACTTGATACTTATGTGGCTGCAGTATAAGGCAATTAATTTCATATAAAAAATAGCAAATTGGACTCGACAAGGAATGAGCATGAACAGAACAAGAAACGGATAAAAATGAACTAGACATTTATATCGAATATCAATACTGAATATCTTTGAATAACTCTTGCATACCCTTGGTTATTACGGGCACCTCTTGGTCGCCATTCTGAGTGCGCTTAAAGATACGCTTTGGACTACAGGGCAAGCTGTTAATATTGAATAAAGAAACAGATGGGAATCTTTTTGACGAGAGCTTATAAGCCATAGCATAGTCAAATAGTAGTAAATTAAACAGACACAGAATAATTGGATCATAGACTGAGTACTGATCTACTAAGGTGTATTAGTTCGATACCCATTTCACGGGTTTTTCGAATTCATTTCATATGAAAACAGCGTCTGCGTAATTCCTATAAGCGCGCATTTAGAATCGCAGTCCTAACTCTAAKCTCTAGTCCTAACAAGTTACACTAACTACAGATATATGGAAAAACACGTCGACTTTCACATCAACACATAAGTGCAGGTTCTTTAGTCTGGAGAAACTATAACGTCGGCTTATTACCCTTCATGTTTTCAGCGCGCATTTGGAATCACTAGCTCTAAGCCATTACACTGACAGGGCACACAAACTGATCAGCATATAACTAAGAAAACACGTCAATTCTTGTCACCATATAAGTGCACGCTTTCTAGTCGTGAAATTAGAGTCGGTATAGTTGATATGGTGGAAGCGCGCGATCAAAATCATAATCCTATAACCTTTAGTACTAACTCTGCATACAAGGTAAAAATATAACGGAGGATTCCCGTCAACTCATGTCAACATATAAGTGCATGTTTTTAATGGCTTTAATAAACTTCCGTCCCCTCATCATAATGATATGGAATTATCAAGTGAAGTGATATGTAGGAAGCAGTGTAGATAGCACTTTACTCCCAGAAGATGAACTGATTTTAGATTATACACAAAACAAGTCGAATTTCGGTTCCTTAACGCAGTGGTGAAGTTATTGCTGTAAGGCACACATTGTAACTYAACCGACAKGATAAGAGTGTAAAYACTAAAACCACTGAAAAACTTTAGTAATTATATAGTGATAAATGGTACTGAACCAATGCGAATTCCTTTGTTTTCTATTGCCAATCTGCACATATTTTTAGTACTTTTTCACGCTTTTAGTATTTGCACTCTAGTAGTTTAGGAAGTTATTTATTCATGCCCACAGCTTTCCCCCCTCCCGTCTCTTCACAAATTCCGACTTTTCAGTTCTTTCTTCRGCTAATATCGTATTTTAAGCGTTCGAGGTAAAAACAGAAATTGCACTTTATGAAGTTTCGTGGTATTTCCTTTCATCCCTGCTGATTATTATTTTTTATTATTTGACACTTAATTACTCAAAACTCTGTTCATAACATCAATAAAAGTTATTGTTTTGATTGATTTTATGGTAAACTAATGTCTTATTGTTTTGATTTCATCCTACTCTTATCATCCCTGCTGTCAGATTCAATCATTGAAGCAGGTAGTTGACGACCTTGTAGATGATCTCATAGCAGTCAGCATGGATGAAAGTTTGGTAATAATGAATTCTTGATCTAGTTAATAATGGAAAAATACTTATTTCTCGTTAGCATGACCACTTGTTCCCATTACTTCTAATTTTAATGACGACATATCATATTTTAAAGCACCTTTTTGCCTATCAACCTAATTGAAAAACGTAAGTAAAGCTACACTAACCTTCGCCGCAAAAAGCCTTTTAGCCGAACAGGTGGGATTGTAATTTGACACACTATTCTACATCAATACATGACATTTTTTTAGATATAATAAACTTGTTCGCCTTTTTTTACTCTAATTTTTCATGGCTCCAACATTCTACAACGAGTTTTAGTTTCACGTACATTCACTTTCAACGTATAAAGCAGCGAGTAGAAATGTTTACCTTAAGCAGAATGTTCAGACATTGCAGCACAAGGTCTGTCATGCTGGGTCTGTGTACGAAATGCACTGTACATCTTCAAAATCAAACTAGAAATCCCAGTTTATTTGACATGTCAACCAAATTTCTCAATAACCAATTGAATTTTGCATTCTTTGGGAAAAAAAGGGGGGGAAATACCTAGAAATTCAAATGGCAATCGCATTAAAAACTTAACCTCGATGTTAGATAGTGAATGTCTGGAATGGATTGTGATATAGTAGCCATAAACAATCTTTAAGTCTTGCCAATTATAGTTAATTTAATGATGAAAATGCTTTTAGATATTTGAAAGAGTGAATTACGTTCATTACAAATTATAGGGAACGATATTCACTTGTTCAAGAGCAATTCCATTTAATTTTTGAAAGGGTGTGAAGATTTTGTCATATAGATGGACAGATAGTGCRTTTATAAGGAACCCAAATGAAGACAATATGGCAAATAAAAGACAACTGAATCCAATGGATGGACGTATTTTGGACGGATGGTGTACAATATGAAATCAAGTGAAGAGATAATACAGCAAATAAGCTCTTCTGATGGCCGATAATATAAGACTGTAAACGCCAGTGCTAGAATAATCTACGAGTGTTTTACGCTAATCTTACGTAAAATTGATGACCCTTGAATGAATTTTTAACGTGCATTACAAATACACTGAAAATACGTATTGTTATGGGCGGAGCCTAATGCTTTTACGTAATGGCRCGCGTGTTATGTACATTCCCCTCAATRTTCTTTTTAAGAAAAACATGTGCAAATGCTGAATAAACGCAATAGTATACGTAAGAGGTCCCCTATACGTTTTGGCGTACATGATGGTGTTCTCACTGCGATTCCATTGAAGAATAACGCAAAATGCTGCGTAAACGCAAAGTATCTGAACCAAGATTTGCGCATTCATTGCGCACATTTTGTTGTGCTCACTGATTCCCTTAAAGACTAACGCAAAAAATGCTACGTAAACGCAACAGCATGTGGGCAAGACCCTATTTTTCTAGGTACACAATCATACAATGGGTATTTTTTCGTTGATTTCCTCGAAGAAAACAAATTCTGCTTCAATAATTCAGGCTATGGACAGTTTGTAAGAATCATTTGAATCTTGTCATAAGTCATACAGACAGATAGTCCTCGAATATCAGGCGAAAACTCAAGATCGAATCCACAGACTAAAGACATTTTTTATATTTTTTGTGTAAGTTTTTCAGGTAGATTAATTTAAACCATATCATCTACTTACATCATTTAATTACTCGATTTTCAGTACAGTGCTCTCGGCAAATCAACAAYGTCGTCAACAGACATACTCGTCAACTGCTTCCTTATTATTAATTAAAACCGCACACAGTTCATCCAATGAAATGCCTCCACAGTTCCTAAAGCCCTTAAAACTCGATAGACGCACGACTCTGAACGATAAGGAAACCAGTATTGCTAAGTTTTAAATCAGCGGATATAACACCGACTAAAATATCCATAAAAAACAACCACACATACAAACTGCTTGATTTCATCGAGCGCGCACCACAGTCAGAGGACATCGAACGCAGCCGTGGAAAAAGCAACCTTTTTAGAAGCAAGATGAAAAACGCCGCAGTGTTTGTCTTTGCGTTATTGTGCTTTGAGCTTTCTTATGGCATGAATATAATGGATTTATTCAAGTCAATGCAGAATAAAGGTAAGTACTCTGATATTGTGTATGTGAAGGGCAGGAATTCGTTGYSGCTAACGCGGCACGCAAACAAGAGTAATYCATAACATCTTCTTTGCAAAGAAAGAAAAAGACATTCAAAAATGTAAGATATCCCAGACTGAAAAAATGATCTTTAGGGAAATCATCTTCTTTGAAAGCAATCGATAGTGACTATAAATTCTTTTCGGAAGGAAAATATGAAACAAAAAGGCTTAGAAATACTTAGCGGACTAATATACCTTGTAGCAAATAAGAACTTAAGCAGTTTTAGTCCATAATGCAACTACAATTTTTTTACTGACGGGAGTTTGACAAGATCAAAAAATTTAAAAAATACAGAAATATATATTACTTTGAAGTTCTTTTTAATCTTTTAAACCTAAGAAGGATAGATGAAAATTGTCGTTTTTGTTCTAATACTAACGAAATGTAGACGATTCTAGACTGGTTCAAAGCCCATTTAGTTATATTTTAAAACATACTTTCAATAACCGTGAACCAAAGACAATCACAGTAAAGAGTGATACAGAGTAATAAACTATAAGTTGTATTTCACGGGTTTAATTAGAAAACCCCTGAAGTCTAAACTTAACAAGAAGGTAAAATCAATAACCCCCCAAAACGGTGACCACAGAGGAATTTCTATAAGACAAAACAAAAAGGCAGAACGATTCAATTTACAGAACTGATCAGTGCCGAGGCGTCAATTACTAAGATTTGAATAAAACGGAATATGTAGAGAAAGTAGACACCAAAACGGTTGTCCTAATAGCTAAGGGTTCAATTTCACACTATGGCTTTAAAAGCAACAATTAAATCGAGGATTAACCAAAAAAATGTTTCATTTTTAAGCACTTTTAAGTGCATACTTGGTAGGCGTCTATGTTTTTGGGTTTGACTTCTAAGTACCTTCCGTAATTGCCAGGATCCTTTTTCCTTTTGTAATGGCTTCATATGATTTTYGACCCTCAGCGGCCAAGCTAGGGGGTACAAAGAAAAACACAAACAACATTTTTTGCTAAAAATATCAGGAAATCTATGATCTAAGTCTTTCGGTTTCGAGCAGGCTCGCGAATACAACCTAACGGCATAGCCGGACAAAGAGAATACTATTAAATTAACATAAGACAACATCATCAACATCATCATCATCATTAAGAACAACAAAAAGATCATCAACAACATCATCATCAACATCAACATTAACAACAACAACAACATCAACAACGACAACGACATTCAGATTTTATATAAACTTAAGAGAAACACCTTTTATTCTATCCTTGCCCTCTGAATGTTCCTCTTCATAACAATTCAAGATGGCGTCCATATTTGTAAYATTTTATTTAATATAGAGGGATGCAAGGATAGATTCTGTACAAGATGTCTATCGGGATGGATGAAGAATCATCAAAGGGGGGTCCCYTGCGTCAAGTCTTGTGCTGATGGATTCTACAAGCATTACAACCCTACTAATGATGAGTACAGCTGCAGAAGTAAGTCGACATTTACTTACGCAAAACATTTTCGTGGCACTTTTTAACGAATGCCCATTCACACGCATTTACTCGATAATACGACTTGGGTAGATTGAAATATTTGGTTTGCATATGGCCAGGAAATCAGAGAATAATCTCATTAAAATGTGGCCCTAGCAAATCCACAAATATCTTGGGCATGGACAGGTATTAGAGCTCGTAATCTGACCTATAGTACTGTAATAACGATATTTCCTCAATTCAACATAGGTTGTCGTAAAAACTGTAAGGAATGCAGTGATTGGTTGAACTGTGATGTCTGTGGTCAGGGATACTCATTAATGGAAACTGCATTTCGACGATGCGTTGCAAAGTGTCCTTCAAACTTCATAACCACTGAAACAGAACGAGGGCAGATCTGCCAGCTAGGTAACAAACAAATACAGTAGTAGGCGATTTCGAAGCCCTAAGGGATTTTTTTGTCAGTGTTTCAAATCTTATTTATATTTTTGCCCCAAAATACGGCTTCGTATTCAAGCKCGCGCCCGCGATATTTTTGAAATCACCCGCCACGAGTCGTATACAGTTAACTCTCTTTGAACGACCACTCTAGTAAGCGACCATATCCCGCAAGCGAGCACCTTTTAAATTTCCCGTTTTGTCCAGTTTCATATAAACTCTGTAAAAAAACTTTCTCGTGAGCGACCACTTTTTCCTGATCCCGAGGTGGTCGATTACGAGAGAGTTGAGACTGTATTACCAATTGCTTGGGAAAGCAGGAGTAATCGATTTACTGTCGATCATAACTTATTGATAGACGATCGATTACCTCTTGGTCACTGAGGATGAGAAAATGCTGGGACTAGATAGCACACGTCTAATACCTTTAGCTCAAAAGATAACCTGAAAAAACTTTGTTYTATTATTTTTGAAAAAGACACTTCTGGTTGTACGGAYGAGAGCTGCACTGATTGTCAATCAGGAATGTACCTCYTAGAAGGCTGGATAGCTTCGCAGTGCGTAGGCGAGTGCCCCAATGGTTACTATGGTGCCGAGGAAGACGGGATGCTTAAATGCAGAAGTAAGTTAACCAATTACTACTAACYGTTGTTTCATTGATGTCTACAGCARCTTTCMAACAATAATTTGTACCAATATCTCTTATTGTGATTATTATTTCCCAGAATGCCTCTACAACTGTGAAAGATGCTCAAGTGGCATGTCATGTGACAAGTGCATGGCGGGATACTCGCTCGTTTCGAACGATAACAGGTTTTATTGCCTGAATCGATCAGTAAAGGTTCTTTAATAGGTAATACTATCAACAAYAAATTGGAGCTAAACTATAATAAATCAGGTTGAAAACCATGTTTTACGAAAATGTCCTGGAATTTTTGGTTCTCCACACCGTAAGTTGAATGGAAAATTCCGCAGACGCGCTTCAAATGTAGATTATGTCTTGTTAAATGTGATCCTACTATTTGTGTAATGATGTTTTTTATGCATTTTACATTTTTAGATGCTGCAATTATTGATACATATACCAATAAAAGAACCAAAGTAACTCAACAATTATTGGCGCATGACTGTGGGCTGATTTTTGGGCTTGGCTGATTKTAATTCTCAATTTTGAGAGCGTAGCAGTAGTGATAACAAAAAAACAATTGTAACTATAGCAACGATAAAAAACAATAAATATCTTGGTCGACCATGATGCATTGCGGTAAATCAAGTATACACTCGAATTACGGACACACCCCTCATTACGGACACTTTCATATAATCCTTACATCAAAGAAATTGCTAAAAGCAACTCCTTTTTACAGCAGGCACTAGTATAGAAACTAAAATTGGTGGCTATTATAATGACAGATTTATTTGTTGTTGCTTAGAGTTTTGCATCTGCGCAAGTTTTATTGAAATTAATCGGTCGTGTTAAATGTGCGATGCATCTTGTGGTCGACTAGAGCAGTAGTCACATTGTACTCTTTATGTTAATCCCAAAGCCAATAAAACTCATAAATTTAACAACTCGTCAAAGTGATTTCAATATTAGCAGCATGGAGCACAGGGAGCCCTATACAAGAACAGTCTGCGTGAGAGAATAGCTTGTACTTTGAAAACAACCTTTACATGAGAACACTTTTATGCATAGTGCTTTTTGCAGTTTATCGCCACATCGAATTTGGTTTTGCAGCCACCACGCAGAGAAAAGGTTTAAAAAAGTATAAACTTTTAAAAGGTTCCTTTTAGAACATCTTTGTCCATATAGAAGGAAGCCAGAGTAAAAAACATAAGATACAAGGCTGAGGTCTGTTTGSAAACTTCAAGAATAATAAACATCTTCTTTCGTCTTCTTCTAGGCATTATAATACGATCCGATTTGTCGCATGCGCCTTGTGATATACGACACAAACGAGCTCAGAATAGTCCCTTGCAAAGTGCTGTATTAAGTGCAAACTCTTGTCTTTGATACATATTAACCATTCAGATTTGTCTTGCGAATACCAAACCAGGCAAAAAGCACTAAAATCTACAAGACTAGGCCGGTTCTTGAAGCTCTTAAGGACTATATCAGTGACCTTTTCTGGTCAAGAGAGAGAGAGAGAGAGTCCACAAACACCATTTATAGCATATAGACGGTGTCAGCCATGTGCGATAACTGTATCAAGTTTATCAGCCTTACTTGTGGTTTCTTTCTTGAGGTATTAAATATTTACAAACCAAGTTGCAGCTTTCATATGAGAATAGCTTTTCCATTAGACTCGATGACACACTGAGCGTTGTTTGTGCTSTCTTGTTTTATAGCCTGGTGGACAATAACGCACACAGTGCAGTCCTTGTTTGTTCTTAAGTCGGTGATATTTTGAATGACACTTGTAGCATTTACTGGGACTAGAGCACTTTTGGCATCCACGGGGGCATTCTGCAAACAAAATAACGTTTATTTAATGACCTAAAACCGGATACGATATAGTCAGAGTATAATGAAAGTGATGTGATATTACAACTGAGACTCGCTACTGTGCATGCGTTCTATCGTTGCACAACATTGATGGACCTGATATACACCTAACACAACGCTGATGAATAAAACATCAGTCTAGAATGTAAAACAATAGGTTGGTACAGACAACCCTTATAATCCTAATACTCATTATTTTATGTTCAAATACAACACGGACGCTCATGTTATAAACCTTAGAATACCAAGAAATAATACGTACTGAGGCAGAATTTCCTGACAGAGCCCACTGTATAGTGACCCTTAGGACAACGCCTAAGACACARTCCTCTACGAACACGATATAATCCTGCTTTACATGCCATACAAAAATCATCTTGACATCCTCCTACAATTATAGAGTAAATATACAGTGAATTTTTAGAGATATAACGAGAGCTCTCATTGGCTGATGACGATGTGTTTTTATCAAAGTACGCGCGCTTGAAATAGAATGCTCTATGTGACAACAATTAATATATTCTAGTTTCAACTTACTGGCTTTTAAGGGTACGCATCTTTTTCCTTTTTGTTTAAATCCATCAGGGCATTGAAGAACACACTTAATATCGTCTAATACTGTCAKTTTGAATTTAAGGTACTTTTTGGAACACTTTTTGCAGTTTGATTTCTTAGGACAATACTCGCAGTTGGCAATAGTCTTACATTCTAAAACGAAATAGCAGCAGAGTGAATTCACTATCTTCAATAAAGGAGGACTTATGAAGACCCCCTTCCTTATATTATGAATGAGATAAGCTAAATTTCATTACCCCTAGTGTGGGAATCCCACAATTGTATTGGAGATGTAGAACGGATTTCGTATTAGTGGGAAACGGACGGTACTGTACTGTGACCGTAACCGTACTGTAACCAAATTCTAGTGCCCCATTGGTTCACCAAAATTGTGCAGGCCAGGTTCGGTAACTGTGCGGTAACCGTGCGGTAACGGTGTCCCACTCATACGAAATCCGCTCTACTGAATGGAACTGAAATTATGTATCGCTAGAAAACCTTTCTAAATGTTTTAACCATACTTTTCCTTAGTTTGTACCGGTGTCTACAGTATAACAAATGATACAAGGCACATTAACTTTCTTTCCCTGYATATCTTACTCTTTCGTTTTTCCCGTTTTGCGCAGTACAGTCCAAAGTATTCCGATTTGACTTGTCGATATTTCGGTGGACATGCCTTGACGCAGTTCATCGTCAAATTACCACTGAAGAAAATACAGAAAACAATACAAAATGAGTCATGACATATCATCAAGACGAGCAATCGTCACATACTTTTTCTGRAATAGCATTGCGTCAATTACGCATTGCATTATGGTCTACTGATTCGGTACAAACATCTTTTGTCCATCTGGCCAAATATGGTGTTGATTGCACTGAAGCAAGACCACAATGCACCGTGATTTTGCAAATCTAAAAAGGCCTAAAAACGTCATTATCATCACCTGTTGAAGAATGTAAGAAAACCTTTCTTGCATTTCCTGCACCATATCTTGTCCAGGCAGCGATCACAGTTAGGAGATCGTTCTCTGCACTCTACAACAAACATAAAACACTTTATAGTTTAACTCATTTTGGTTCAAAGTTCCTTACGGACAATATTCGGCGTAATTCTATACATTACGTAATTCAACATTGTTACCTGTAGCACTTAGGATACACTCTTTCGTACCATCACGTAACACCGTAGCGCTACACCAGCGAGGACATTTACGTACGCATTTAGCGCTGTCTTTGACGGACGGTCTGTACAGATAAAACCCTCTTGAGCATTTCATACAGCTACTTGTACGTCTTGGATGACACGTCTTGCAATGAGGGACTTTACAAACTGGAAATAGTAAAACGCTTACGTAAAAATGACTTCAAGGTACGTAAAGAATTCGTGAATGAATTGAAACGCAAAAGCGAAAATCATATTTATTATACTTAATAATRAAGAATAAATGAAAATTCTACCATACTAAAATCACTCTGTTCTGAGGGTCSAAAACGAGTGCATGTGATACCCTCTCGAAAGAACAAGTTTATAACTAGTACATACCTTTGTCAGTGTARACACACGTTCGTCCAGATGTYTTATTCATGATTCGATATCCCTTTGGACATGTCTTGGTACACTGTATAGTCTTCTTAACTATCTGTGATGATGTACTACGATACTCCATAAAGATATAGCCCGTTTCACACTTAACGCACACGTGTGAATTAATACATTTGTCACAGTTCAATATCAGACCACACCCTGAATTGGAAGAAAAGTCTCTTATTTATTCAACCATTTATTCGTTTATTTATTCATAACGTTGGTTGAAAAGATCAAGTTCGCGCTCCAATCATAATACGYTGATAACACGCGCTCTACTAAGAAAAAGAAAAACAATTTTAAGAAAAGTCTCTTATTGCTTCAACCATTCATTCRTTTATTCATTCATAACGTTAGCTGAAAAGATCAARTTCGCGCTCCAATCATAAAAATACGCGTGCTGCTATGCTATCTATTTTAAAAGTTACCATTAGTTAAAATATCATCCGTTCGGTATTTTGARGTGYGATCGCATGCCAACAACACAATCAATTTGAACTCTTCTAGTGTTAAAGTAAGCCGAATGTTTATACAACGCGGCTGAGATTGCACAATAAACATATATACAGAAGTAGCGACGCCATTTCTTAAAGACATCAATCTCTCCAATCAGAGATAGTATGCCTGAAGTCTTGAAATAAATCTCAAGAATGCAGAAATAATGTTGAATTCAGACGRTCAATTTGATATTTCATTGTCGGTAACATTATCAAAGTGAGGGGTTTCAGCTGTTTATACTGGAATGTATTAATTAATCTTAATATCAAGAAYTGCAATCAATGTTTTGAAATATTTCACAAGCAGCTGGATGTCACTAAGCAAGGAGAACAGTAGAGAATATTGTGAGACTACAGCCACACCGTGGCCCCGATCCCTGTGTAGGATTTCTCCACCTTCTAATTGGCTCCCTAACCATGGGCTATTTGTAATAGCTGGGCTATTTGTAAGAGCGCGCGTACTCCGATTAATAAACCAAAAGCGCGCAATCAAATACCGCAATGATTCAGTTTTTAYATCCTGATAACATCCGCAGTTTTGGTCTAATTTGGTGCATAATAAAACAGTCAGACCTCTCGGCCTTACGAACTATGAAGCAAAGAGCCCATTGGTCCAAGAGGTCTAATTAAGCTATTGAACTGTTTTAAACCCCGAGAAATGCTTCACGAAGTYGTTCTTGATATTTTCACTCCACAATAACGCATCTTTTCTGAGCTTTAAGTGTTATCGTCCTAATCCTATTATACCGCGCAAAATACGTTTCACTCGTAACTTTTTCCACGGGAGAAATTATAGCAACACGTAACAGAATATACTGGGAACTACTTGAACTAATCACCAACTTAACGTCTGCCAGCAAAGATGGCCACTTATTATGGAAAAGGTTACAAGGTGCCGATTTAATAAATTTGCCCTGTGAAATATCAAAAACGTACCGTTTAACCAAAATCCAAGACGCCCCGTTACGTATTAATGCTTACGSTTTTTTACTGAAAACGCGAGTTTCCCAGTTAAATCGCATTTTGATTTTGGTTACGTATCAATTAAAAAATATACACTTAATGTATACCTAATTCAAGCGTAAATAATGTTAAAACAGTCTCTGATTTTCAAGTATATTTGCAAACGTCCAACCGACGCGCATTCCCCTCCTTGCGTCGAACGACATACGTAACCAATCACGCGTTTTATAAGATTTACCGTATCAAAGTGCTGTTGAATATTTCAAAGCCATTTTGTTATCTACTGCGGTGAAAGCTGTTTATGTAATAGTGATTATTTAGAAATCGTAAACTATATTCMCAAGCATCTTCACGTTAGCAACAGGTGTTGTCTTGAAAACTGCGTGATTGCGTTTCGTGTGAATGGTAAATCGCAAGGAAATCTAGCTTTTTGCGTTCCTTGCGTAAGGTAAGATTACGTCTTTTCTCAAAATTACATATACTTGAACTAGATACAGGCGGAGAGTTACATCGTGTCGACGAAAAAAAATGGTAAATATAATGAAGAAAATGTTTGAGCTCACCTCCCCATAACCATCTCTTGTGACGAACCAGCGTCTTATCTTGAGAACCAGAAGCTTTGATACCATTTATACAACACAGAGCAAACAACAGAACGAACTTCTCCATTTTCTAGAAGATCTTGACTTGTTTTTAATAACAGGATAATTGCTTTAGTCAGTCCAATGACCCTCTAAGTGAAGCAACGGTTCTTAGACTAATTGATACTACAGCAAGTGCCTCTGGCTTTTTGGCAATAAAACGAAAAATAGAGTAACAAAATGTGTTTTTTGTTATAAAAACCTGTTGTCTGTGTTAGATCTGGATAACCGCACTTGTTGCTCAARCTGATCTAAAGAACTTCACGGAGCTAATTGCCCTGATTTAAGCAGTTCGCTAATAGGTTGTAGTTCTTAACGTGATGTCTATAAAGCTTTAGCTTATCACAAAGGGCATCACAGTCAACGAAGGAATACCATCTAATGGTGGTCTCTTGACAAGGTCAATACCTAAATAACTTTCAAGTCGACATGCTGGCGGGGAAGTTGTGGTTAGTATAAGTAGCTGTGATATCAATACTGATAAYACAAGCCCTTTGTCGTTGTTTAATTGAGATTTTCCGTTTTTCTGTGAATAGAAGATTATCTTGTTTGTAATACTTGATAAAGAACAAAGCTAAACAACGACTGTGAAGTCTCCAACACAATAAGAACTAAAGTGATTTTCCGTCGTCTGTGAAGTCAGCAATTTGTAGTAACCGACAGACTCCCAAATTCTGACTCACTTTTCTTTTCATTTTAACTAAGTCATTTTCGACGAAAAATCAATGGCTCCACTAAGCACTAGATTCGATAAGGACGACGGGAAGACAGCCAGTATTACAGCTGTATATCCAACAATTGTAATCTGGCAATCGATGTTATCATAAGACTAGAACAACCGATTAGCTACGGATTAAAACAATCACAGCCGCGTTAAAGCCACTCAAAAAAAAAAAAAGGCTGAACGAGGGATAGAACATTCCTGGGTGTTCCCTCTATAGTATCATTCTTTAATGCAATCGTCACGTGTCTAGACACTTACAATCACAGTTCAGTTAACATTGCTATTATCAGCTCGTTAGATACAATACTAATCTATAATTACATGAAGAATCGTCTAGTTACGTCGAGCTCTGTCGACTTGAGGCTGCACGCACGCCCACGCCGGTATTCCAAATGAGCACCAAAAATGAAATAGAGTGGGATGCAAAATGTGACGTGATTGTCTGACAATGATAGAATACAAGGCATACCGAATATATCCCGATATGTCTACGACGTTGTTCCGATGACGAAAATTAGTTATAAACGGACAGTATTAAACTATAATGGCTTTCAATCTTACGAATAGAGTAACGACGAGAAGAAAGAATGGCTAGTATACTTTTATTTTTATGCTGAGATTTGTGGTGGACAATTAAATAAAAACAGCAAACAAAACAAAAAACAATCGAGCTCAATATAACAACATTCCGTTATGTCTTTGAMCACGAAATGCGACTACAATTTTACATTTAAGTGTGCGGAATAGACGGGCGGAGAACGGTCGGCAATTCTCAAAAATGAGATTCGGATGAAACCGCGTTGACTCCCACTTCCACACAATTGCTAAATATAGTGTGGACGGGTATATATTGATTTATTAATCAAAAGTCGCAAGATGTTCAKAATAGCAACATTAAGACAAGCAGTCAAGGTGGAAACTGTATGYATGATGTCACTATGGCGTCATTATGATGTCACTGTGATGTCATTATGTCAMTGCAGTGTTAATGTGATGTCATATAGCTCCTATGTCACATAAACGCAACATAAAATGATTAATTTTTGTAACGAAGTGCCATAAGTAARTATTTGTTTGGGAAAAAGTACTCAAAAATATCTAAATTTATGGCCATATTTTTCCCGGTTTGTTGTACAAATTGYCGAGATTAGAAGGTCACTAWGCTATRACAGAAGACTGARAAGTAATTTATCCTGAGTTACTATGCTACCGTCAGTCTTACAATAAAATAAATACCAATTAGCACTTTAAAATTTYATAATCATAACACAGGTATCCCAGCACGATTTTTCGTCTTGGGTTCCCTGTGGGACATTTTTTTAGTTATAGAGGACGGACAGACAAATAKAMCAGWAGACCAYTGTTGACAGATATAATAGGATGACTTTCCTGGGTATTCAGCATTTCTCTCCAATAAGCTGTAGAAGGATTTTCTTGTAATTTCCTCTAGTATCATCCTAGGCAATGACAAATAGGCATGAGAAATGCAAAATAAGAAAGCAGGCAACTGTAAAACTGGGAGAAAGGCAGTAAGTGGATGAAAGAAACGAAGAAAGGAAGATAGAAAGAAAGGAAAGATCATTGGAACATGTGATTTGACTTACAGCGATGAACTGTCCAAGTGGTGTACCATATTGTCTAGCAAACTCATCTCTGATATCAAGTATATCTATTTCCGACCGAGTAACAATAACTCGGATAAGCTTACTGTCATCTGTACCAAGACCCTGCCAGTGACAAAGTACAATGTGCATAATGTACAGTATATTTTACAAGAAAAAGTCACGCAGAGTCTTTTTTTACCTTCATAGACCTGTGCAGTTTGTGAGCAAAGAAAGCTGGAGCATTTCTTACAACGCGAACTGAATAAAAAAAATATTGAATCATGAGTGCGTCATCAATATAAAAACTATTATAATGCAGGGGCATGCACAGGGATTTCACAAGCTATCCAAACTGTATGGAGAATATAATTGACTGCAAAATTGCACAAATAGATTTATTTAGATATATTTTAACTAGAGGACCACTAGTTTATTAGTACTTTGTACTTTTAAGTGTTTTATCCTCTATAAATATAGTTGTTACTTACTTACTTACTTACTTACTTACAAGTATTGTTTAGGATTCATAACGAACAAACTCATGGAATAATTAATTAATATGTTTCCCTCACTTATTTGGCAAAAAATGTTAAGATGTTCCAAAGACTTTGTCTTCCAAGAAATAAATAAGCAAGTAAATTGATAGTATTGAATATTTACCTACAGATACCATGGCATCTTTGAGATCCCCTGACATCTCTCTCTTTATTGACTCCTCAATGTCATATTTACAAATCTATTATAAAACAAGAAAATTCTGTTTTAGTTTATTTACTTATGCTCCGAAAATTTTATAAACTCTTAACTAAGAAGGTACAGATTACCTTGGCATATTCATCAAATGTTGCTCTTAGCTGAGCATAACTCCTTGATGCAAGAATACTGTTGAATCTAAACACAACAATCACAAGACATAATTTTAAAATGAATCAATATTGCAAAACCGATCAAGTTGTAAATAAGTACTCACTTAGATTCATCAGTTCCCCATCTTGCTTCACCAGCCTTATATAATTCCTAATAATAAATGTGATTTATATAAAATAGTGCTTGTTTTTTGCAATTTTGTTTTATCAACAAAATACCTCAGCGTTTTGCTTTGCTTTGGCAATATCAACTTGATCTGTCTCATCTCTGTAGGCCTGAATTAATAATTATTACAAATTTTTATAAAAATAATAAGAAATAAAAATAAAAGATTTATATACAAGTATGCCAAATGTTTCTGAAGGTAGTTTTGGATAATGTTCCTCAAGGCAGAGAGGATGATAAACACAGAGATTGATACATTTATCTTAAAAACACGACAGACATTACTTCAGGAAAGAATTCTCATAACAAACAAACCTGTGCCAGGGAAATAAGGAACTTCTTGAAGTGACCGGAGGTGTCCTTTGATATATCAACTTCAAGGTCTCTATCAAACACTAAAGAAAAAAGCATTAGTTGGACGTATAAATTCATTGATAACAAATCCACCTCATCATAACACTTAGCCTGCTCTTGCAGCCATTATGAGTCTCGTTTCAGTCTCTCTAACAAGCCTCATTACTGAGAGAGGAGGTTACACAACACTGTCAAGAAACATACATCTTTTGTAGGCATTTTTTATTGCTATGATTTCAGCATTAGTCCTTGTGGAGAGAATTTCTATAAGCATTGCTTCATCTGTGCCCAGTCCCTGTGCAAACAAAAGAAACACATGAAATAATATAATAATGAAAAAAGAAAATAGAAAAAAAGGGAACCATTGACAAATCAAAAAAGGGTACAAGAAATTCCATTTCTGAACATCAATTTTTGATAGCTGATTGATTTAAGGTAGGTGTGGTCACATGACCCCCTGCTACAAAGGGTCTATTCTAGGCTGGCCAAGTCTCTTAACAAGACGAAATTACTTATCCCCAGTAGAATGTTACAAAATTGTTTTTAACTTAAGTCACCTCAGGTTTGAGGACTTCTTTGAATATACCAAATGTAAAATAACAAGATCTAATCATCCATATAAATTATACCTTAAAGTAAATCCGTTCAAATACTATTTTTTCATTATTATTGTCAAATTATGGAATAACCTCCCTAATTACGTAGTCCAAGTAGGCAGTCTCACTCTTTTTAAATCCAAATTATCAAATCATCTCGGCCTCATATAGTCTTCTTTTTTTGACCATCTTATTCTTCTCTTATCTTTAAACATATATATATTTAGCTTTCTTGTTTATATGTCTGTCGTTTTTCAGGGGAGTTTTCACATAGGGCTAACCTCTTAACTTCCTAGTTTCTAGATGCCTATTTTGTTATATTTTTCGTTTTGTATCTCGCTTTATACTGCTTTTATATGTGTATTTGTATAGTGTTGATTTGCATCTGGAATAAATCTTTATTGTATTGTATTGTACCTTGATGGCTTTACGCAGGAGACCAGCATCGTACTCTTCAGGTGGTGTCATCAGAGCAATCACAACATCTTCAAAGTGTCCACCTAACTCACTTTTGAGATCTTTGATAAGATCCTAACCACAAATTAAGAAAAAAATGAATATTAGGAAATAATGATAATTTCATTAGATTTATGAATGACAGATGGTCATGTATACTAACTCTTCCATGCATCGTCTTGTATTCTAAAGCAATACGCTGTCGTTGTGAGTTTGTTCTGGTGCATAATAAATACATAATGGCTTTAGAGTCACAACCTGAAGACATAAAATAAATCATTAATGAGTACTAATAAGTTTTATAATGATAAGTTTCTATAATAAGTTTTTTTTAATAAATGAAAAGAACAAATATTTTCATGTATGTCTTACCTAAGCCTTTCATTGCTTTACGGAGAACATCAGCGTCTTTCTTACCATCAAAGGGAGAGTAAGGAACCACAGAGGCCCTGCCTCTTGGTTTAGTGGTAGTAGTTGGAGCTTGTTGACTAGTGCTGCTTGCCATAGTTTGGGGCGGGGCAGATGCAACTGTAGTCTGTGATGAGTAGGATATGTGTTGTTGGTAAGATACCTAGAACAAATAAAGATATAAATCCATTTATCAAAAAAATAGACAAATTATAAGAATCAGTTCAGACATTTTGAAAAACTCAAACCAGATTAATAAATTTTTGCTTCTATTTATACCATAATACATCCTAACTAATGATCAGTTAAATATCATACATGGATTTAATGTGTCTTGAAAAATACAAATAGTCATAAAGAATAGGTAATTATAATGATACATAGTTTGTTACAAGTGTCTTACAAAGGGAAGGATTCAATAAAGTTTGAGGTAAAATCAAATCAAGATAAGTCAATTGTTTGTACAAAGAATGAAAAATACAGACAGTCGTTGTTTTTAAGAGGCCGTGAAAACACTGAATAATTAACTATTTGTGAAAAGCACTAGTTAAAAAAATCCTTTCAGACAGGTCAAAAATGAAGAAATAACTACAAAATGTACATCAAGTTTAGAATTTCGATTATAGGTTCTCAATGACCGAACATTGTTTCTATTAAAGCTAAAAAGAGAAAGAAAACTTACGATCTTGAGGCAGTAGATTCGCTTTTAAAACCTCAGAGAATGGAGATCAAGCTAAAACCTCAGATTTCAAGATTATATTTCAGCTTCAGTGTTAATTTTTAATCGTAAAACAATGGACCGGAACAGCTGTTAACTTTGCCGCCATTTTGAATCATGTGATTACAAGTCAGCTGACTGTCACGTAACTTGGTCACGCGATACACAAGTTTAGGATGAAAAATGATAAAAAAAGGGGAAATTAGACAATAAATAATGAAATGAAAAGTAAATTGCTAAAGAAATACGGGAAATCTGTTTCAGTGATGCAATGGTTTAACTTGCATGGTTGTATCAAGGATTTTCATTAGGGGAGGAGGGGAGGGGAAAGGGGGGTCCTTACATACCAATTTGTCACTGTGACATCATTTGACGTCAATATGATCGTATAAATCTACGGTTTTCATGCTGTTTTGGCTTTGAAAGGGGGGTCATGGGCACCCTCTGATCCCCCTGGATACGCCCCTGACTTGATTTACAGTGTCATAACAGAGAGAGAAAGAAAATGAAGAGGAGGAAGAACAAGAAAAACAATGAAACATACAAATCAGTAAAATGATGAACCAATTTATATATAAAGTCTTAGGATTATAAAAATGTACAATAAGTACTGAAAATATTGTCCAACTATCAAGATACTTACATTTGAACTAGCAGCAGGTTGTGGCATGGGTGGGCCTTGTTGAGCTTTATAGTGACCTGGAAATGCTGCTGTTGCCATAGCAGCACCCTTTTATGAATAACAAAATTGATTCAATCTAGTCTGATTTTATTGTTATTTTATTTGTAAAAGAAAAATATGTGTTAAGATCTAATCAACATAATTTCTTTTCTGTGTCCACATTATATACTTTGTGCCTAGTTCTCCATGAAACATAGTTCTCTAATAGCTGGTTCAATAGCCATGACTGCCACGCTGTCACTGAAGAGGCTTGAACTGAGCGATACTACTACTTAAAGAGTGTCGAAGATCACAATGATTACTAGATCTGATCACCATGGTAACAATTGACACATGAAATAGTTAAAAGGTATATGCTTTATGGGCTAAAATGTATGTAACTGTTGTCACATACAAAATTTTTAATTTCAATTGATTACTATTATATAGATATATATATCTACAAGTGCTCATTATACAGCATCATTGACAGTTTTGATTGACAGTATGCTAACTGTGTGTATTATTACTATTGTCTTGGCTGTTTGTATATATATTTGAAACTCACCTGGAAGGACAGGCTAGGATTAGGCATAGGAGCTGGCTGGTGGTGGGGCTGATAATATCCATGAGAAGGTTGGGGTGGAGGTACCATGGGCTGGGGTGGGGCTCCAAAGCCTGAGTAAGGTGGGGCACCCCCAGGAACAGGAAAACCAGCAGCTGTTTACAATAATGGTACCACATGAAATTCAGTATTTAACATAAAAACAAAATAATAAAAATTATTAAATCTCAGGAACACAGGTGTTATACTCTGTCAATCTTAGCCCCTAGCTTGTTTGTCCAGCAAAACTATCTTATTGGTTGACCCACTGAGCCTTGTTCCTCAGGTTCAATGAATGGTGGGCTTCTACTATCTAATGAAGAGTTTACCTGGAGGACCTCCATAGGGTGCTGGGGCTGGTGCTGGCATAGGCATACCTCCCCCTGGATACTAGAAAAACAAGATGAACAAGTATTAATTTATTTAGTAACTCAAATCAAATGGTTCCCTTCATTTTCAAAGTATTATCAGGCACAAAGTCTTGGTATCAATAGCCAACTCATATGACTAGTACTTACTGGGGCATTTGGCTGAGCTACATTATCAAATCCTAGTGGGGGTGGTGCCCCGCCCATGGGGTATGGGTGACCCCCTGGCTGTGGCATGCCATATCCTCCTGGTGGTGGATAGCTCATACTGCTGCAACAAATTAATAATGGTTAATAAATATCTGCCCTTGATAAATGATCAAAGGGCATTTGAAAATAATGGATAGTAACAGCGGAGGAATGTCATAGATTGATTGAATTATGAAATAGTTTTCTAATAAAACTGTGCAATTAATTTTGATGCATAAAAATTGATATTCTCCCTAATAAAATTTGAAACCGCATTAATCTGTGCTTCAGAAAGTTCTAAAGAGCCTTAGAAGCAAAGTTTTCTAGAGCAACACCATATATGGAATAGTAATATATTGTACTTTTGACAGTTTTTATTGTGAAGCCGTAAATCTTCATTAAATTACAGCTTTTAAAGGCATTAATAATTGAAAAGGTTTTATAGTAATAAGTAAAAGCATAATTTATCAAAGGTCCTTGAATATTTTGAATAGTATAGTACGTAACCAAATGATTTTTTTAATTGAAGTTATAAGCCAATATATTTCAATAGATTAACAATATATAGGGAGTGAGTAGGCAAATAATAAAATGTTAATGCCCATAAGGCAATTCACACTTCAAACAGCTGAACGTACAATACGAAGTAATAAACAACATGCAGTTTATATAGCCACGTACTTCAGATGTTGAATGCTCATAACAATTTGCCGTATTGATTAAGATATGACAAAATAACAGCCCCAATACAAAACTAGCAAACTGAAAATTTCACATCCATGGCATATAACTCGCTAAAATCAAGGAAATAGCATCCAGCATTTTAGGCAGATTGTCGTTGTTTTTGCAGCCGAACAGAATCGGTATCACAATGTCATTGTCAGTCAATTTAGTGCAAGTACTTCACTTTTGTAACAAATACAGGAAATCAAAAATCGCTCTAGTCATTATTAACTTACCTTTCAAGGCACTAAAACCGTACTAATACTACGAAAATAAAGTCAACGATTTGGACAAAACAAGGAAGACCCAGCCAGTGATCGTGAGTCGTATGAAGAGGATTGGGACTTAGGTAAACACAGGGTACCCAATATTGTAATAACACAGTCACACATGTTTAGTAACTATGATCAAATTTATTTCATGTCTATGAAAAAAATACATGCTGAACAAAGTTTTAAAATATATTAACTCGATTTGACTGTGTATTTTGTCCAACAGATTTTCTCATATGACTTGATTTTCTGCAAATATCCAATTTCCTCACATTAAATTTGCTTTGCTTCACTTTTTAAGATGAAATGGATGTAGAAAATATTAGAGTTCTGCAGTCTTCTTTGTAGCTCACTGTGCCATTTTGAAGCCTAATCGCATGTTTAAATTCTAAATGGTGTGAGATGACCAGTGAGGGTGCAAGAAAGAGAATATTACAATTTCACATGAGCTGTTAACTGTTATATTTGACAACTATAAGTCTGCATCATATCGCTGAATTTGGGTAATTATTAATGTTATGTCTACACAGATGAGCTGACTGTATTCATTGCCATCAATAAGTCTTCCATGATAGTAAACCCTTTATCAGCTCCGCACTTAAACACATGAATTGAAAATGATTCTAGCATTCTGCCAAGGATGGGGCCAAGGCCATCTGCCGTGATCACCCCTCTTTGTTCCATGACTGTCCTGTTAAGCAAAATGGATGTTAATGTCAACATTGACTGTTTTTGATCATACAACACTTCTAAAAGCTAGTTTTTTTTAGAGAGCTCTGTGATTTTTTATATACAAATATCATTATAAACAATTATAAAAATCATTAATATTCATATGGCAAAACACAATAGATATCATAGCCCATGAAGAGAGTTGTATATTACATACAGATTTCTTGTTCATTTGCATAAACTTTAACTTTGATTTTCTCGGTCAGATCGAATTTTTTACAAAAGTTTCTTTAAAACCTGAGCAAGTTTACCTCAACATTTCATAAGTAACACAATACAATAGTACAATATTTGCGTGTGATCTGTGATCTCGCTTTCAGCTCGCTGTTTTAAATCCTCATACAGATCGCCCGCTCATATTGTATATATTACATAAAAGTGATATTAAAGCAATGGTGTAATATACCTACCAATTGTCATTGAGATTACTTTGTGTATAAGTACTGTATTCCTCTAGTTTCACATAACTTGAACCAGTGATATTATAGCTGTGAAGATGAAGGATTCTTTCTTTTCTTTTGAGCCAAGCTTCTTCCTCTACTTCAACAACCGCACTTGGACAAAACTGTAATAAAAAGGCATGATAAAGTATTAAGTGTAGTGTATTATCAGTATAAAAGTGGAAAATGATGGAATTGGTGTGTGAATCCCTGATATTTCAGCAGCCAGAGTGCATATAATGTGTGTAAAAACTACTATAAGAGATGATAACACATAACTCACCCTTCTAAAAACAGCTGGAAGAATATTTGCACATGTTCCTCGTCTTAGAATGTATTCCTCCCCTGTTTTAGGATCTAAGAATATCAACCAAAGAAATGATCAGCCTTGTGGCACTTGATATGTTCCAGCACTTTTGAATCATCAAGAATGTAATCAGTAAGGCAAAATATATTAAATGGGACAAGTGTGTTTTCAAATATATAGAAGGATTCACCACAGTTTTTTTCTTTTTTCAAATTCTGTATCACAGCTTTCTGCCACCTAGTTGGCCTTTGCATTCCTAAAGCTTTCATCCCCCCCCCCCCATAGACTCTGTACCCCCTTCAAAATAATACTATCCATCAAAACCATCAAGACAAAAAGATAAAACTGAAGTAAATTGAAATACAACTACTGCTTCTTACCTTGTTTGTGTTCAATGACTGTTATCGACGTAACATTCTGGTCTTTTCCGCTCGTGTACTAAAAATGGAGGACATGTCACGTTTACAAAATCTCACGATTTTTAGCATAAACGTTATTTAAACGACAGATTCTAGTTCTCAAAACTTACCTTTTGAAAGTAAGCACGAACTACGATTTCAAATGGATGTTTAAAAATATATTGAAAGTCCAAAGATCTCATTTTCCAAAGAGAACTTCCATTTTCTTCCTTTTCCTTCGAATACTGTCACGCAATATGGGTATAGTTCGCTGACATAACATGAGCCCACAGTAAAATCAGAGTAAAGTTTAAAAAAATTTTCCTCAATACTTATTTAGAATTTTAGAAAGTAAATTTGATGTACTAAGTTTTCTTGTCGAGATTTTTGTTAATTTTTCCCTATTTAAACATCACTTTGTTACTCTTTCATCAGTTTGTTTAGTAATATTCCACAGGAAGCCCAAATTATTATGGACCACAGGAAACCCGTTATGTAAGGGTCGAGAGGGCCAATACTCTTCCATACCCACCCAGCAAGGATTAGCCTATGCACATCTAGCAACGATAAAAAACAAAGCGAAAGCTCAGGTATGGCCGCAAACACTCCGAACTCAGTGAACCTGGATAAGTCATTTTCAGAGCAGTATGAACTCAAATCAGAGCTTGGCAAAGGAGCTTTTAGTGTTGTTTATCAATGTACCAACAAGAATACTGGAGAGCAATATGCAGTCAAAATTCTCGACGTTCGTAATATGAGTGAGAAAGAACGCCTTAAGATCGAAAGAGAAACCAGAATTTGTCGTCGACTAACTCATCCTAATATTGTTCGACTACATTCGTTTATAAGGGCTGATACAAGTTATTACCTAATCTTTGATCTAGTCACTGGCGGTGAGTTGTTTGAAGACATTGTCGCACGAGAATACTACAGCGAGACCGACGCGTCTCATTGTATACAGCAAGTTCTACAAAGCGTCCAACATTGCCATGAAAATCACGTCGTTCATCGTGATCTCAAGCCAGAAAACCTTCTCTTATCAAGTAAAGAAAGGGGTGCCATTGTAAAGCTGGCTGATTTTGGTTTGGCAATAGAAATCGCAGATGGGTTACCCTCGTGGTTTGGCTTGGCTGGAACTCCAGGCTATCTCTCACCGGAAGTCTTGAAAAAAGAGCCATACGGACAAGCGGTTGATGTATGGGCTTGTGGGGTTATTCTTTATATTTTATTAGTAGGATATCCACCATTTTGGGATGATGATAAAGAGAAACTTTACCTACAGATCAAGCAAGGATCATATGATGTGAGTCTATGATTTATTAAAATCCCATGCCATACATATTTCTGGCTGGAAAAGTTTTCCACAGGGGAGGGGGTCATTGGGAATTTAGACTTTCTTTTTAAGCAACGTTGATTGCATAGTCAAAGTATTAATTGCATAGTCAAGGTATTATTGTACAAAAACGTTTAATGAAATCATAATTATTTTTGTCTGTAGCATTTTTGTTGTTTCTATAATTATATGACTGTTATGAGATGCTTTTTCAAGATTTCATGGAATAATCTTTTTTTTATCAAGTGTGAAAAGATGATATTTTTGTGCTTAAATTTCAGTTATTTTCAAGCAAGCTTTTTTTGTTTGTAGCTAAGACTACACCAGCATTTAACATACTATTGCAATCTAGATCTCATCAAATCCACTTGATTCCCTGAGGGCTAACACTAGAGTTTAATTATTGTGAATATGATTATTATAGTAAAGAATCCATCAATTATATTTTAATATTTATTCCACTGGGTTCTGTAGTACCCCTCACCAGAATGGGATTCTGTAACAAAAGAAGCCAAGGATTTGATAAATAAAATGTTAGTGACAGACCCAAGAAGAAGGATCACTGCAGCTGAAGCTCTCAAGCACCCTTGGATTGTGGTAAGATTACAAATATCAGATATAGTGCACATATTTAATGTTATCTAGGTAAACTTATTATTATTCAAAGCTTAGTTGAATTTCAAGATCTTTTGGAAAAAGCCATTTGAGTGTTATTTTCAAAAGCCAATTTAATGCTTGTGAAAGCCAATCAAGTGCTGTGAAAGCCAGTCAAGTGCTGTGAAAGCCAATCAAGTGTTATAAAAGCCAGTCAAGTATCCAAAACAACTGCTATGATTTAAACCTTTCAGTTTTATGAAGGAACACATTTGAATGTAAAAAGAAACCAATAGTTGGAATTCAGAAAATGGGTATAGTGTGCATTTTCAAAAAAGCTTTTAAAATATGTAGTTACAGTGCTGTTTCCATGTATCCCTAAAAGCTTTATAATATTGAGTGTTCTTTAATTACTCCTGATGCAAAGAACAACTTTTTGACGCAATATTAAGGATTGTGTTCGTATAACTCTGGTTTTCATCTCTGTCTAAGTCATTGCCACTGTCTTGCAAATTTGCATTCTTGGAAATCAATGGGCTATTGATTGCAAAAAAACCTCTTTTTCATGTTATTACTAACTTAGAGTATGATAATGTGATCAATAACTATGCATATTCATGAAGTCATATTGGTTCCTTTAGAACCGTGAGCGCATCGCTTCAACAGTCCATCGCCAGACAACTATAGATGGTTTGAAGAAATTCAATGCACGACGAACCCTACGCAGTGCAATCATCAGCACAATGTTCCTGAATAGAAGGTCAAGCAAGAAGAAGATATCTCAAGAGGACTCGGTACAAACTGTCATTGAAGAAAACAACAACACTGTACAGGAAAAAGAGATCATCCGCTTGACACAGGAGCTCCTTACTAGTGTAACGTCTGGTGATTATGTGACATATACTAAGCTAGTAGACCCACACTTAACAGCCATTGAACCAGAATCTCGTGGAAATATGGTGGAGGGATTGGATTTTCATAAGTTTTACTTTGATAATTTTTTCCCAACCAAGCAGCCCATCAATACTACAGTCTTGTCTCCACATGTACATATGCTTGGCCCCAATGCTGCATGTATTTCATACATCCGTTTGAGTCAAAGGATTCTTCCTAATGGTTATCCTGACACCCAACAGAGTGAAGAAACAAGGGTCTGGCAAAAGAAAAATGGAAGTTGGGTTAATGTTCATTTCCATCGCTCTTCCATTGGTAAATAAAAAAGGGGAAAGTGGATGGGATTTTGATTTTCAATCTTGATGAGTAAAATAATGAAAACTGTGAATACTATTTAACAATGTTTTCCAGTTTTTTGTAACTAATTGGAATTGAAATAATTTTCAACATTTTGAAATTGAATAATAATTATTGGACAACAATGAGCTGCATTTTGTGGCAAAATTCTTGCATAATAACATAAAAGAACATTGATTTGCAAACAAACTTATTGAACATTTTTTGATAAAATATGTTAAATACATTTCTCAATATTTCTGCTGTTTTCCTTTAACTACAGCAGTAATTAATAACTACTTTTTGGTTTTACCTTTTTGTAAATTGAGAATCTGTAATATGGGTTTTTAGACCTAGTTATTCTTGCCAAGTCAATAATAGCCTCATTAGAATGATACATTTCATGGATGTTTTTTCGACATTAAACATTGATACTTAGTAAATTTGTTCAGCGGTCTTGTGAAATTCTAAGACATGTATAAAATAGTAAAATTAATTCATTGGTTGTATAAACTAATATTTCAATTCATTAGATTAGTGTAGGATTAATAACTTTTTGTTAATGTCATGGATTTTCAATAATAAAAACTTGAAATATGACAATGTCGTTGTATTAACCAGACAGGTAAACACCAAACCACAATTTCCAGGAAAGTACAATGACCAGTCAGGGGCGGATACAGAAATTTTTTAAGGGGGTGGAAAAATGTACCGAAGTCACTGTGCAATATTAGCTAATATTAAAAACAGGCACTTCAAGGGAAGGGGGACTTATGTGGAAGGGAAAGGGGATAAGAATAAAAGCAATTTTTAAAATTATCATTCAAAAACAGTCTATTTAAAAAAAATTAAGGGTCAAACTGGGAGGTGGAAACCCCCCCCCCCTCTCCCCTCATCCCCTCTCCCCCCTGTATCAGGCAGTTTCTTCATAACTCTTGTTTTGTGTTTCCCAAAGAAATTGAAACTAGTTTAAGATACCGACTACACAGAGGGGTACAAAATATCACGTGAACAGGCCTTTATTCCTAATGACGGCAAAGCCCCAGTTGAAACAGTTATGCCTTTGGTGCCACGATTCCGTAGTAGTGCCCCTGGTTATCGATTCATTTAAAAAGTAACACTTATGCGATATTAATGGTAGTTCAGGTCAATGGCAATTACACTTCTCATATGCAGGACCTCGGGTTAAATGCTGTCTCGTCTGTGCTTCGACATGTTAGAAGTATCATAAAAATAATAGTCGAAACAACAGATTCTCCAAGACAGTACTTTTGCAAAGTTTTAGGTACCGATTTCCGTTCATCCTCAGGAAATGCATAAAGAACAATAAAAAAGCGCCATAAAACGCATGAAATATATTAAGTTTCCGGTACCAAAAAATACCCCAAAAAAAGGATTGAACACAATGCGTTCCCGGAGAGTATTCATGTAGCAACGTAATCCTCAACGCAACGGTTCGCAATGAAGAAAAGAATAAAACATAAAACGAGAAACGCATTTTTAAGATAGTGCGTCTCCATAGGGTATTTGAATTACTACCTATTTGCTCACTAAATAACGTCATAAAAAGCATTAGACGTAATGCGTTTTTAATGAAAAGGCGTTTCCGTTACTTATTTAACGCAATCTTTTCTGCATATTTCGAATTCTGTTCGGCATACTTTGGCTTCTACTCGGCTTTCTGTTTCTGCTCTTCCAATCTTTCTTTTATTTCCCCCCCAATTTTCTCGCATATCATATTTCTTTCCATCGGTCAATAGTGCTTAGAAAAACGCCTTTAATGCCCAAAAGGTTATATATACAAGCACTCAAAAAACATATTGCCAAAACCCTCAGGGAGCTACTGTGTATTCCATAGTTCAAATGAATTATGGCAACGTAAACTTACAAAAAAAAAATAGTTTAACCTTACGTACTAACGTATATTATGGTGTGCAATGCCAAAACTTTGTCAACACATTAATCTCTTCTTAGATGCGCCATTCTATCTAGGACATGTCTAGTTCTACAGAATCTTGTAGAATGATTGCTGTGATCTTTTTGGGTGACTTTTAATAACAATTGGCACCATTTGTGATCTGATAACAGATGTAAATCGATTATAAAACATCATTTGGACAATATCTAAGGGCGTATCAATATAATAACTCCGTATAACTACAGATGAGTGAATGTACTTGACATGAATATAGAGGGCAAGAGGAGACGACAATAGTAGTACATTAGAGCCTAAAAGCTGAATTCACAGTTAACCGCAAAAAGGCAACCACATCAGCTAAATGGAATGCGTCTTCACGAAACATTTGACTKACTGACCGTTGTGAAGTAATTCTTATAAGAATTTCTTAAGGGTAACGCCCTTTTTTCGGTTAACAGATCTACCGCAAGGGCAACAAARAAAAAGAAWTAATGAAATCAGTAAAGCAATCAGTAACAGAAAAAATCCAGACCAGTAACATGACAGATTACAGGTATCTACACAAGCGATTTGGACAAGGACATGCGACGCAGTAATCAAAATATTTTCAAAGTTGATTATTATATGGCATTATTTTGATAGGATATTAACAAGATTGCATTACTATTTCTGTTTCAAACAARCATTATCCCTACACTGACGATTGATGTAACGTAGCCCCATTGATTTAACACTGAGTATCAGTTTCACACAATACAAGTGATAACCTAAATCCCTGCAGGAGGATATATAAATACAAGATTGAAAACACTCTTTGCTTTAAGATGATGCGTCAGGATGGAGACAAGTGCAGTAGTTGTGATGCTTTGCGTGTCATTTGTGGCTGTCTTTGGAAATGTAAGGAAAAAGGACTTAAATAGAGGGATGAACGAGTTAAGCGGTAAGTCAAATCTAGATCGTTGCGTATCGTTACCGTTTCCTACACACATAGCGCGTGTTTTACTTTACTGTAATCCAGAAAACGGATTACTTTATCAGCGCTTTGGTACAGAAATCTTGCGTAAGTGCGATTTAGCAACTAAAACAACATATCATAAGATAACGCAGGCTAAGTTGTTCAATGTTACTGAAACGAGGAGATCCGCACACGGGTCGTGAAGTTATGAATTATACACTGCAAAGAAAAACGAAAACTTTCTGACATGCATTTTGTACGAATTACACCGAGTCATTTGTCGTGTCTGAGTAAAAGAGTAGCGTAGACTCAAATCGTACTGCAGATCCACTGATCTTAACGCAGGAATGATTTTACGCACGTAAAATACGAATTAGCATACTTGCGTGATTTTACTGGTTTGCGTGGTAGAGCAAACTTCACATGAGTTCGTTTAATATGTAAAACAGATTTTTTCGGTGATGATTAAGTGCTGATTAGTTCATGTAGTCTAAGTGACCATGTCACCACTTAGGACGCTGAACCTTCATAAATCAGGGTGGGACAGGATGTCTAAATTGGACAAAAATACAATCTCCTGGCTAAAATAACGATGCGTACTGCATCATCACAGCACGCTAGACTCATATGATATGATGTTCCGCAAATTTTTCAAGGCAAAGTAATTGTAGCTTAATGAATAAGCTGCAATCTTCCGCAATATATTTGTGTAGCTTGCTCCCCTACCCTGCTGATACAGGCGTTGTGTTGATGGCTCTGTTAAGTATTACAGGGAAATCATGACTTTTTGTACCGTGGAGACAACATTGCTAATGAGGGGAGCGGAAATTAAGCTTTTTTTGACGCAGATTGTCGGACATTGTTTCTCGGTTTAATTAGCCATCTCGAATATACATGTAGCGCGTAAAATGCGCTCGCTCTGTAAGGTATGTTAGTTAATTCAGCGACCTTCAATGCAAGTAGAGATGCATTCTCTTAATGTACTGAAATCATACCATCCTTCTAAGTGATATTTACAATATTTATTATTATTAGAAAGCGACTACCTTCAAGAACTTCCGCCAAAAGCAAAAACTGCAGAGAAAATCCATCGTTTTTTCTTAGGTGGCTGTGCAGCATCAATCCATCCTCTATGGTATGCAAGAGATAAAAGCAATACAAGAAAGAAAAGGTTGGTTAAATCTCGTAATTCCTACTACGACGTCGCATTCCTCATTGACGCATCCGGATCTATCAAAGAAAAGGACTTTTACAATGGAATCAAAGCGCTTAATATACTGATAACAAAGGCTAAAATTTCAACAAAGTACGCAGTCATTACATTCTCAGAGAAAGGGGACATAAAATCATTYTTCATGTGGCCACCTAGTAAAATACGAGCCGTCCTMAAGACAACAGAGTATCAAGGTTTTAGAACCAATACCCAAGATGCTTTGCGCAAATGTCGACAAGGTCTCTTTATGAATAGTTCTTCTGGAGCACGRCGAGGGAGTTATAAAAGAGTTCTAATAGTGACTGATGGACGTTCYAATATTAAAAATGAACTGACRCTTTACAGAGCTGCAAARCTGAAGAACTATCACATTGAGATCTTTGTTCTTGCAGTAGGGAAATACATCCAAGGCATTGATGAACTAGCAGAATTAGCAACGTCTAAACAATGGCATCTATTTAGGGTGGAGACAATGGAAGGTTTGATCGAAGTGGTTAAGATGATACCCCCGAATAGAATCAGGACAAAAGTGGTGATAACATAGAAATAGATAAATTATAGAAGAGGTTCTAGCTTACGCTATTATACACCCTTTTAATAAGTCCCAAGGTATTGTTTTCTCCGCACTTGACGTCAAATTTATTCTTTTGAAATTTTTACAATACTAAAGGAATTCAAAAGAATAAATTTGACGTCAAGTGCGGAGAAAGTAATACCTCGGGACTTATTAAAATGGTGTATACTCCCGTTTCGTATCTTCTTTTGTGCAAGCATAGATTCAGTCAAGTTTCTATTGTCATTTTTGTACACAGAGTGTTTGCATAACAATAGGATCTCTGCTGAAGAAAACAATATATTGCATGCTTTTGAGGTTAAGGCTGCACAAACAAGATCTCGAAACTGGAGTATTTAGATAGTCGCTAGGAATTTGCAGGTTGAATGGATGAGTGAACTATAGGAGATGTGTTAATGCCCTGAGATAAAAAATAMAATATGGTTTTGCGCTTTTATTTATCATAAATCAATAACAAAAGTTCCTTATTAACGTGCAGGAACGACTGGCGACCAGTCCTAATKATCCGTGCTGCATGGATTTCTGGCTGATCAGAAATAGCTTTGCATTCTGTCTGTCCATCTTTGCTTAACTAACAA